GTTGTAATAGTATTCACGATGAGGTATCCTCCGGGTTAGCAATCCAGAGGAGGATGACCATGGGCAATCGGACGACCAATGCCGCCGGTAATTTTGGATGAGTGGAGCGTGAAACCCTGGTACGGTGGGTTCGCCGTCCGAAAACGGCGCAAGCTTTGGCGCTGCGGGCCAGAATGATTTTGGGCTGTGCCGAAGGCCGCAGCAATACCACGGTGGGCGCCGACTGGGAGTGTCCGATGAGACGGTGGGGAAGTGGCGTCCCGTTCCTGGAACGGAGGCTGGACGGACTGTCGGACGAACGCGCAGCGGACGGCCTCGAGCGGTTACCGATGACCACGTGGAGCGTGTGATTACGCTGACGCTGGAGACCACCCCCAAGGACGCGACCCACTGGAGCACCCGGTCCATGGCCCAGCGCAGCGGGCTGAGCCACAACACGGTCAGCCGCATCTGGCGAGCCTTCGGATTGCAGCCCCACCGCACGGAGACCTTCAAGTTGTCGGCAGACCCCTTCTTCATCGAGAAGGTCAGGGACGTTGTGGGGCTATACCTGAATCCACCGGATCGGGCGTTGGTCCTGTGCGTGGACGAGAAGTCCCAGATCCAGGCGTTGGATCGCACCCGTCCGCTATTTGCCATGCGCCCGGGACAGGTGGAACGGCGCACCCCATGATTACGTGGATTACCTGCGTCACGGCACCACTTCGCTGTTCGCCGCCTTGGACACCAGGACGGCAAGGTGATTGGTCGTTGCCACCAACGGCACCGGGCCGTGGAGTTCCGCAAATTCCTCGATACCATCGAGGCCGAGGTGCCCGCCGACCTCGACGTCCACCTGATCGCGGACAACTACGCCACCCACAAGACGGCGCTGATCCGCAACTGGCTGGCCAAGCGGCCCCGCTTCCATATGCACTTCACACCCACCAGCGCCTCCTGGCTGAACCTGGTGGAGCGCTGGTTCGGTCTGCTCACCGAAAAGCAGTTGCGCCGCGGCGTGCATCAGAGCAGCGCCGAACTGGAGGCTGCCATCTACCGCTATCTGGACGTCACCAACGAAGATCCCCAACCTTTTGTCTGGACCCAGACCGCCGACCAAATACTGGCCAACGTTGCCCGCTTTTGCCAACGTACTTTGGATACAGGACACTAGTATTACAACGTCAGTTGGGATGATAAGATTACTGGGAAATTGGGGAATGCTTGGGCAGGTGAGGCAGGGAAGTGGATGGGGCGGCATTTGAGCAGGTATACCAGGACTTTCAGGAATTTCACGCCTACTTCGCGCCGCTGTTTGGCCGGCGGGAGACCCGGGAGCGCAGCGGCCATTATCTGCAAGCCCTGCTGGTGCAGTCCGGGGAGCGGCGCACGCCAGAGAACTGTCGGAGACGGTTCACGAGTCCGCCCGGGGGATCAGCGGGTTTCTCACGACTCTCCCTGGGACGATGAGGCGGTTATAGGGCGGCTGCAGGAGTACCTGGGAACCCGGCTGGAGCATCCTGAGGCGGTGTGGGTGCTGGACGGCAGCGACTTTCCCAAGCAGGGGCGGAAGTCGGCGGGAGTGGACCGTCAATACTGCGGGAGACTGGGGAAGGTGGCCAACTGCCAGGCTGGGAGTTCCTGGCCTAGTGAGCCCGCTGGGACGGGCTCTGGTGGACAGGGACTGTATTGCCGGAGAGCTGGACGTCGGACCAGATCGTTGTGACGGCGGCGAGGGTTCCGGAGGAGAGACGGGCTACACGATCGAAGACGGGACTGGCTTGGAGATGCTGGAGCAGGCAGTAGAGTTGGGCCATCTGAGGGCCGGTGGGTCGCTGCAGACGACGCCTTCGGCATGGTCGCCGTCCTTCCGCGACGGGTTGCAACCTGGGAATGCGCTACGTCCTGGACGTACCGGCGGGCTTTATGGTGTGGCCGGAGGAACCGGAGTGGACCACTCCGATCTACCGGGGACGGGGTGGCCCTCCCAAGCCCAGGCTGGTGGCCGGACAGCGGCGCACCATGGAGGATCGCAGTGACGCGTTGCCGGAGGGTGCCTGGCGGAGATTACGTGGCGGAGGGAAGCCAGGGCCCCGCGCTACCTGTTCAGCGCCCAGCGGGTGCGGCCACAGCAGCGCGCAAGCCGGCGAAATCCACTGGGCCGTCTACCGCCGGAACCTGGACGGCAGCGAGCCCCGCTACTACCTGTCCAATGCTCCGGAGGATACACCGTTGGAGACCCTGGCATACGTGGGCGGTTCCAGGTGGCGCATTGAAACGGAGTTTGAGACGGAGAAGAGCGACGTGGGGACTGGAAGGGTACTGGGATGGCCGGAAGCGGCTTTAGGTCGTAGTTACCAGGCCAGAGAAAGTCAGACCTCCGAAAACCTACCGCGATACCTCCCGAATGCCAGACTGCCAACCCCCGCGGCCGGTATGACACTGTAGGTTTCAGCCAACCGCGACGGCACCAGTCGCTCTATCGCCAAGAGCGGGACGATGTGAAATAGAAAGACGAGAATAAATACGGCCGAACGTTTCGTATGTTTGTACTCATCCTTTTGCCCTTGCCCCAATCCTATATGTGGAAAGTTTGAACCTTCTTGGGTTTCTCGTGTGGGGTGTGTGGGTGGCCGCTGTGGGTATCGGGGCTGGGATCCCTTGATGACTCGGGTTCCTGGGTCACTACCAGTCGGAGCCTGAATCCGTTTTGGTCATGCCTGAGATCGTGGTTATTAGAAATAATACCCTTATCGGGCGGGGATTTTTCTTGTCTCGGGTTTTTCATGGGCTGCCGCCCAGCGGCCGTCCTTTGACATCACCCTTGGTGGGAAGGCGGGGATGGGGGTGACGAGTAGCGTAACTTCAACCCACTGAGCAAAACGGGCGAATTTCACAACCGGAGGTGTTAAAAACGTTTCCAATTGAATTGACTCATAGTATCCCTGCGCCCACAAGACATGTTCTCCCGCTCCGTTTTGCCCTGCCCTGCCTTTTTCCCTTACACTTCGGCCGATAGCTACCACGCACTTTTCTTGTGGGAGAGGCGTTTAGAGAGGCGGCCACATGCGCTAACGATGCTGACCGTGCGATGTCCTGCGGCCGGGGAATTTTTTGATAACACCCGTCTTCGCGACCCTTCCCAGTATTCCAGTGTCGGTGGAACCCCCTCCCGACGAGCCCAAGAATTTTGGTCGAGCGCAGCCTGAGGAACACAACCTGCTGCTTGACAAGCTGTCGGGGCAAACTGGACGAACTGCTGGAACTGGTGCGGGCCGGAAGGGATGAATTGCGGGACAAGTGGCCCTGAGTTGCTGGAAATCCCTGCGTCAGAAACATGGGGAGGCCCCGCCCGGCTCTGCATCGAACGGCCGTTGCGGCCCCCTGGCCCGTCCACTAAGAAGCCATCAATGAGCACGTAATGCTCTACAAATCGACTGGAAAATTCCGGGGACAGTGGAAAACTACAACAGGCCAGTCACCGCAACTTGAAAAACCTGTCTCAAAGTCCCTTCCCCCTGGAAGTGGAAGGGCCGGGATGGGGGTGACAGCCCTCATCCCATAGTTGACGCCTTAAGCTCCCTAGGCATTCCGGCCCCCCAACCGTCATTCCGGCGAAGGCCGGAATCCATCAAGTCTCAACTTGCAAATACGGGCCCATTGGGGATACTTCACGCAAATCACCTGTCCAGAAACACAGCCAATACGAACCCCCCATTTTCGGTACAAAACCGGAAATCCGCATACCCTGTGCCTGTCTAAAGGCTCACCCAAAAGGGCAAAGCCCCGTTGCGTAGCATTGTAATTTAGGTGGTTTGGTTATCGGATTCTGTAGGGGCATCCCTTGTGGCTGTCCTGTTTCTCCCGCAAAACCACCCCCAACGGAACGCTGCCATTGTGTTGAGAAAGTAGTTCTGAGATAGAAACGAGAGAGGCAGTTAGATTATCGGACTCCGTAGGGGCATCCCTTATGGCTGTCCTGTCTCTCCCACAAAACCACCCACAACGGAATGCTGCCATTGTGTTGAGAAAGCAGTTCTGAGATAGAAACCAGAGAGGCAGCTTGGTTATCGAACTCTGTAGGGGCAGCCCTAGTGGCTGCCCTGTCTCGTTGGCAGAACCACCCACAACGGAACGCTGCCGCCGTGCTGAGAAGATTGTTCCGAGGCAGATTCTGGGCTCTCAGACCCCCGCCGTTTCACCGTCCCCACCGTCGTCCGGCCCGTCCGCAACGTCGTCCCCTTCCCCTTCCGGAGAAACTGCGTCAGCGCCGGTGTCCCCTTCCCCACTCGCGGGCGGAACGCCATAGTCCTCAAAGGGGGAATCGTACTGCAAACCCGCATCGGCGGCCACTGCCGACCCCATGGCCGTGATGGCAACCTCAATCTGGTCGTCCTCCGGCTGACGGGTGGTCAACCTCTGCAGCCACAGCCCGGGCCCTGCTATAAACTTGGAAATAGTCCAGGTAGGGTGAACGCCCGAGAAGCGAATAAACTCGTAGCTGATGGCCGCTACCACCGGAATCAGCATGATACGTGACAATATCCGCCATTCCAGGTCGGGACGCCCCAGGAAAGCGAAAACCACTATGGAAACCAGCACCACGGTCAGCAGGAACGCGGTTCCGCAACGGGGATGGGGGGTATTGAATTTGCGCACGTTTTCCACGGTCAGGTCAAGACCCGCTTCGTAGGTATGCACCGCCATGTGCTCGGCGCCGTGGTAGGCGAACACCCGCCGGATGTCCTTCATCATCCCGATCCCGGAGATATACGCCACCAGGATGACCAGGCGAATAGCTCCCTCGATGAGGTTGCTGACCACATCAGAAGCGATGAAAGGGTCGATGATCCGGACCACCAGCAAGGGCAGGATGAAGAAGATGCCCACGCCCAGGGTGAGGGACACAATGAGGGTGAGGGCCAGCAGCCAACCGGGGATTTCTTCCTTGCCGCCGTTCGGCCCCTCAACCGAAGCCAGCGCGGCCGAGCGGTTCAGGGTCTTTATCCCCAGCAGCAGGGTCTCAAGCAGGACCAGGACGCCCCGTAGCAATGGAATGCGCCTTACCGGGCCCGTGAAGGCGGTATTCAGCCGCTCGTTGTAGTGAAAAATATGACCGTCAGGACGCCGTACCGCAAGGCTGTAGTATTCGCGTCCGCGAATCATGACGCCTTCGATTACTGCCTGGCCGCCGTAGGTAACTCTTGGTTGCTCCGCCACTGCCCGCTGCCTGTCGCCGTTAGTAAGTCGCTGCTTGGAAATAGCTGCCGGAAAGTCGAATCCAGCGCTGGCTACCCAATCCTGGCAAGCCGAGGGAGGTGCCACAAAAAAGTAATCGAGGGTCTCCAATCTGGCCCTCGATTTTAAACGCTGTGATCTGTCGCCGACTCAGGCTATTGTAAATTGTACCGTCTCCGCAGTCGCTCAATGCGTCCCTGGGTGTCCACGATGCGCTGCTCACCCGTGTAGAAAGGGTGGCACTGGCTGCACACCTCTACCCTCAGGGTGGGCTTGGTGGCCCCCGTCTGGAAAACATGCCCGCACGAGCATGTTACCGTGGAATTGAAAAACTGGGGATGAATTTCTGCCTTCATATCCTGAAATCCCTTGCGCTTGCCCGGTATATCCGGGTAAGCGGCCAATTGCTGTATTGAAAGTTGCTAGCCGGCCAGGGCGACCGCTTCGGTCTGAGGTACTGCCGGATACACGCTGACCTGCCGGCGGCCCTTGGATGCCCATTCGAACTGTACTTTGCCTTCCACCTTGGCGTAGATGGTAAAGTCCCGGCCCAGGCCCACGTTGTTGCCCGGCTTGATCCGGGTGCCCCGCTGCCTGATGATTATGGCGCCGGAGGTTACCTGCTCACCGCCATACTTCTTGACGCCCAATCGCTTGGAGTTGCTGTCACGGCCGTTGTTGGTGCTTCCGCCTGCCTTCTTGTGAGCCATAAGGGGTTAACCTCCTGCCTGGATGTCCTGGATGACCAGGCGCGTGTAGTTCTGCCGGTGACCCTTCTTGACACGGTAGCGGGTCTTGGCCTTGTATTTGAAGACCATCAGCTTCTTGTCTTTGTAGTGGGACTGCACCTGCGCCACGACCTTGGCCCCAGCGACGTGCGGGGTTCCGAAACTGACCTCTCCACCGTCGGATACGGCCAGAACTTCGTCAAATGCTGTCGAATCCCCTACTTCTACGGGCAGCAGTTCGACATCGAGAACATCGCCCGGCTTCACCCGGTACTGTTTGCCCCCGGTCTTGAAAATCGCATAATCCATATCAATCACAACCTCGGATGGATATTCTAGGCCAGACCCCAAAAGGTGTCAAGCTGATCATGAAGCGGTTCAGTTCGGAACTGGGTTTTCCCTTATTGGTGGCGTGATATAATCGCCAGCACCTTTTAAGCCGATCCCTCTGGAGGTAACTAGGTGGTGTCGTCAATATAGTTTGGTCCAGAGGACCAGAGCTCGAATCTGGCAGATTGCCAAGAATGAGGCGGACCTCTTCGCATAGCGAGTTGCCACGGCCCGCCATTGCTTGAAGTTCAAGAATGCATTCTCCACCAAATGGCGCAGCCGATATATTTGACGGTCGTAATAGCGGGGTTCTTTCCGGTGACGCCTCGGCGGTATTACCGGTTCCATCCCCTGAGCCTCGGCTTGGGCCACAATGGCATCGGTGTCGTAGCCTCGGTCAGCCAGCAAGTATTGGGCTGCGATATCTGCAATCAGGTCAGAGGCCTGGGTGCAGTCCGCCACCGTACCTTCGGTCAGGATCATTCGTACCGGCATCCCGTGGGAATCCACCGCCAGGTGCAGTTTGCTGTTTAGCCCCCTTTTGTACGGCCTACATCTTGATTGCCCCCACGGGCACCAGTCCCATGGGGATGAACCTTGATGTGGGTAGCGTCGATCATCAACCACTCAAAGTCCGGGTCATCGATGACCCGGTCCAGCAGTTGCTCCCAAACGCCGCGGTCCCGCCAGCGACAAAAGCGGCGATGGGTGTTCTTCCAGTCCCCATAGTCCGGCGGCAGGTCCCGCCACGGTGCCCCAGTCCGCAGATTCCAAAACACCGCGTTCAAAAACAACCGGTTGTCCTTGGCCGGCCGCCCTCTTTTCCCTGCGCCGCCAGGCAAATGAGGTCTCAAAAGTTCCCAAACCTGGTCCGAAATATCGTGACGCCGATGCGACGGTGTCATACATCCACCCCCCACGCTCACATTCTCAGCAGAAATCTACCATCAAGTTGCTATTTTGACGACACCCCTTAACCTTGTTCAAGGCAAATCCGGTGTCGTTAAAAGAGCTGCTGGATGATGTAGATAGCGGGAAGATTCAGCTTCCCGACTTTCAGCGTGGGTGGGTATGGGACGACGACCGTATTCGCAGTTTGCTTGCAAGTGTGTCAAGGGGCTTTCCGGTCGGAGCCATAATGACATTGGAGGCCGGGGGCGAGATCCGGTTGAAGAGCCGGATGATCGAAGGGGCTGAGGACAATGCAGGTGACCGTCCAGACGCTTTTTTGCTGGACGGCCAACAGCGCCTAACGTCCCTGTATCAATCGCTCCGCCATGAGGATCCGGTGGACACACACGACAATCGGGGCCGACGCATTAGGCGCTGGTACTACATTGACATGCTAGCGTCGATGGACCCGAATGGTGAGCGGGAAGACGCAATTGTCAGTGTGCCCGAGGATAGGAAAGAGACTCGTAATTTCGCCCGGGAGATTGTCCGAGACCTTTCCAGTAGGGAACTGGAATACGAGCAGCACATGATTCCCACAGAGCGGTTGCTGGACAGCAGTTTGAGTTGGCTCTTTGGTTATATCGGCCACTGGCAAGCCCGCGACGCCGAACATCCGGAGGGTGGAGGATTTGCTTTTTACGAACGATTCAACCAGACGGTAATGAGTGAGTTCTCCGCTTACAGCCTCCCTGTCATAAGCCTGGATAAGGAGACGCCCAAGGAAGCGGTCTGCACGGTATTTGAGAAAGTGAACACTGGAGGTGTAACGCTTTCGATGTTCGAACTGGTTACGGCGTCCTTCGCTGCGCAGGATGAGGATTTCTCGTTGCGAGACGATTGGGACGCTCGCCGGAAGCGATTGCATAGCGCCTACGGAGCGTTGCAAGGCATTGAGGGTGACCAGTTCCTGCAGGCCGTAACTTTGCTGGCGACGCAAAAGAGGCGAAGAGAAGCAATCCTAGTATTACAACGACGCATTGCCCAAGAAGACAGTTGACCGTTTTTGTTCAGCTACGAATCAGCGAGAATGGAAAGAGCGTAGCGGCACGGAGCCAGGTTCAATTCACTTGCGGGAATTGCCTCGTCAGTTAATCCGTCGTTGTAATACTAGAGGGGCGCCCTCAAAACCGGATACCGGCGATCAATTGCAGGAAAAACGACATTCTGGGGTTGGATGTCGCCGACTACCACGAGTGGGCGAACCTTGTCGAAAGCGGGTTTGTAGAAGCGGCGAAGTTCCTTCATAACCAGTTTATATTCACCAGGTACGATGTGCCCTACACTACTCAGCTGGTTCCTCTGGCTTCCCTGTTTGTTGAATTAGGGGAAGGGCTGGAACCGGCCATAGCTAAAGCGAAGTTGGAAAGGTGGTTCTGGTCCGGAATATTTGGGGAGGTCTATGGCGGCGCAGTAGAAACTCAATATGCTCTTGACCTTGCCCAGGTAGCCGGTTGGGTCCGGGGGGGTTCGGAGCCCTCGCTAGTTAGTGAGGCGAACTTTGTTCCCGAACGTTTGCTGTCGCTTCGCACCCGGAATAGCGCTGCCTACAAAGGCCTGTACGCAATGCAGATGAGAAGCGGGGCGGCAGATTGGCGTACCGCCAACCAACTGGCGTCTACCACTTGGTACCAGGACAACATCGACATTCATCACATTTTCCCCGTAGCTTGGTGTAGTAGATTAACTCCGCCTGTGCCACCTCGATTGTATAACTCGATCATAAATAAGACCCCCATTGACGCCACCACCAATCGAAGAATTGGCGGGAGTGCCCCGTCGGCATATTTGCGCCGCTTGCAAAGCGACATCGATAAGGAAGTGTTATACAAGATCCTGCGGTCTCACTGGCTTGACCCCGAATTGTTGTCCGCCGACCTGTTCGCGGATTGCTTTATCGAGCGCGGTGAGGCGATGCTTGAATTGATAGGGAAGGCTATGGGCAAGTCTGTCCCTAGAAACCGGGCTGAAAAGCCCTGGTTGGGGAGAGGGATTTCGCAGTA